TCCGTGCATCTCTTACGGAAAATGTGTATTTCGACTTTCGGCCTTCACGGCGTGAAAGACGGCCCAACAGGCCTCCCAGATCATTCCAGGACGGCCCAAGAGGCCCCCAAGAGGTCCCCGAGGCGCCCCAAGAGGGCCCCAAGACGGCCCATGAAGTACCCAAGACGGCCCAAGAGGGCCCTCAAAGGGCCTCAGAGGGGTCACGAGGGGGAACTCGAATCTGTTCTCGGAGCCTCCGTCCCAAAGAGGCCCCGAGACCGCCAGCAGGCCCCAAGAAGGCCCTCCAGAGGCCGAAAAGATTCCCCCAAAGAGGAGGAGAGGGGATTGTGGAGTATGCGGTCTGCCAACCGAAACGTGAGGGAGGAAGGAGGAGGAGGAAGAGGAGGACGGATCTCTGTATGATGGATGACGTTTGCAACTTGATTCCTTTTTGTGTGAGGCGATTTACAATTAAATTCCTTGTGTGGCAGGTTTGCAATTGAGTCCCCTGGCCTCCCAAAGGGGCCCCCGAAGGCCCCCGGGATGCTCCCAAGAGGCTCCAAAAGAGGCCTCCTCACGGGCCCCAGAGCTCCGACCTCGAAACGTCCCAGACGACCGCGCGCCGTGGCCGTGCCAGCCCGCTCATATGCCGAACTGAGGGGCCACTCAGTACGGCGACGGTCAGAGAGTAACAACTTTCATGTATGTATATGTATATTATCTGTATGTATACACACGCATACCGCATAGACCACCCTTCGGGTGATAAGGAGGTGAGGGGGTGGGGAGGGACCAACGTCGCACTCGATTGATCTCACTATCGAACTCACCACCGATCTCACAATCGATCTCAAGCGATAGATCTCACAATCGATCTGACTATCGATCTCACAATCAATCTCACAATCGATCCAACAATCGATCTCACATGCGGTCTCGCTATTGATCTCACAATCGATATCACAATCGATCTCGCATTCGATCTGACTATCGATCTCACTATCAAACTCACTATCGATCTCATTATCGATCTCACATTCGGTCTCACTATCTATCTCACTCTCGATATCACACTCGATCTCACAATCGATCTCGCATTCGGCCTCACTATCGATCTCTCTATCAAACTCACTTCCGATCTCATTATCGATCTCACTATCGATATCACAACCGAACTCACAATCGATCACATTCGGTCTCATCATCGATCTCACTATCGAAATCACTACCGATCTCATTACCGATAGTGATATCACTACTAACTCAATCGATCGATCTCACAATCGATCTGACTATCGATCTCACAATAGATTCCACAATCGATCTCACATTCGGTCTCACTATCGATCTCACTATCGTTATCACAATCGACCTCACAATCGATATCCCATTCGGTCTCACAATCGATCTCACTATCGATCTCATTATCGATCTCACATTCGGTATCACAATCGATCTCACAATCGATCTCACAAGCGATCTGACATTCGATCTCACGTTCGATCTCACAATCGATATCACTACCGATCTCACTATCGATCATCAAAACAAAACATCAACATCGTCATCATCATCACCATCATCATCATCATCATCATCATCATCAATATCATCACCATAATCGGGACACCGACGGGGCACCGGCGGGACACCGCGGGCCCCCGGTTGCCCGGAAGGAGGTCATTTGGTCCGGCCGCGCCTCAGCCACAGACACCGACGGGACACCGACGGGACACCGGCGGGACACCGCGGGCCCCCGGCCGCCCAGAAGGGAGTCATTTGGTCCGGCCGCACCTCAGCCACACGGGACACCAGCGGGACACCGGCGGGACACCGCGGGCCCCCGGCCGCCCGGAAGGGAGACATTTGGTCCGGCCGCGCCTCAGCCACATGAGACTTTCTCTCTCCCGCCCACGCAGCTTCGCCTCGCCCGCACGGCACGCACGAACACGAAACCGAAATCGATTTCCTGGTAGGGGGGCTCTCCGTTCCGCTTCGATCTTACCCCCTCACCTCCGATGTATGCGTATGTGTATGTGTAATGCATGTGTATATGCATATGTATATGTTTTTGTACATGCATATGTGCATGTATCTGAGTGTGTACATGTATTTGCATATGCATATGTAGTTATACAATTCTATGCGTATGTACATTCCATGTGTATGTATATGGCTATGTATATATATGTGTGTGTGGTACAGGTATATGTATATGTATATGTGCATATCATGTACATGCGTATGTACATATACATACATACATACATACATACATATATATATATATATATAGGTATATCGGAATTCATCCAGCTGTCTGCGGCAAGTCCCGCCGCCGTTCCAGCCCAGCATTCTGGGTGGAGACTCTTCGAGGGGGCACGGGAGGACGTCACGAGTGACACCTCGTGTCTCCAGGATTTGGAGGGCTGTGATGAGGAGGATGATGACGATGACGAAGACGAAGACGATCACGATGACAATGACGGTGACGATGGCAGCGGCGATGATGGTGGTGATGCTGATGATATTGGTGATGTTGATGATGTTGATGATGACGATGAAGGTGACGATGACGACGACGACGCTGATGCTGAAGATGATGATGATGATGATGACGATGAGGATGACGATGACGACGATGTTAACGATGATGATGATGTTGATGCTGTTGATGATGATGACGATGACGATGATGGTGGTGATGATGACGATGATGATGACGATGACGATGATGCTAATGATGATGATACGGTGATGATGACGATGATGAAACTGATGAGGAGGGTGATGAATATGCTAACGGTGATGATGATAATTATGATGATGATGATGATGATGATGATGATGATGATGATGATGATGATGCTAACGGTGACGATGACGGTGACGATGGCGATAGCGATGACGACGACGATGATGTTGATGACGATTATGATGATGATGATGACGATGGTGGTGGTGATGATTATACTGCTGTTGCTTATGATGATGATTATGACGATGATCATGACGATGAGGATGATAATGCTGCTGATGATGATGCTGCTGATGACGATGATGATGATGATGATGACGACGACGACGACGACGACGACGATGATGATGATGATGATGATGATGATGATGATGATCATGATGATGATGATGATGATGATGATGGAACTCGTTTGGGCCGTCTTGGGGCTGTTTTGGCCTCCTGTGAGGCAGTCTTTGGGGTCCCTTGTAGCCCTCTCGGGGGCCTCTTGGCCGCATGGTGGTCGTCTGGGGGCCGTCGTGGGGCCGTCTTGGCGCCGTCTTGGGCCGTCGAAGGGCCTTCTAAGGCCATCTTGGGTCCCACGGGAGGCCCTCTTGGGCCGACTCTTGGATGCATCTTGCTCAGTCGCGAAGTCCTCTTGGGCCGTCTTGAGCTGACGGCAGCCCGAAAAGGCGCCTGGGAATGCTGGAAGTGCAGGGTCCTCGAGCGGGTGCGCGTGGGATGGGATGGAGGGTCTAGGGTTTATCAGCCATGTGGGAAGGGCACAATCCTCGAGCTGGCGCGCATGGAATGAGGGTTCAGGCAGTTGCTACCATGCGGGAAATGCACCGTCCTCGAATATCTATATTTGTACATATTGTTATATACATGTACATACAGGTGTATATCTATAAGTACACACATGTATGTATAGCACGTCGGTGTATTCATCATACTTGGGCCTCTGAGAATGTTTCTTCCAACAAAGGCACGCACATATACACAAAAACGCAATCTCTCTCTCTATCTCGCGCTCTCTCTCTCTCTCTGTCTCTCTGTCTCTCCAGGCGCGTGCGAGCACGCAGTCCGCCCGCGGCCTCTCTCGAGCCGCGGCGCGGGCGGCGGGCGCTCGGCGCGACGCCGAGGTGCCATGCACCGGAAGTGGACCCCCGAGCCCGGGAGCCGCTGCGGGCCCGACCGCCCGCGTGCGGCGAGGGCGAGCGGGGCGCCTCCCCTCGACGCGCCGCAGCCGCTGCCCCCGCAGGGCGCCGGGGCGCCCGGGAGCGGCCTCCGCGCGGAGGCGCTGGCCCGCGCCGTGAGGGGCGCCCTGCAGCGCAGGGCCTCGCAGGGCCCGCCGCGCGCGCCCGCGGCCGCGGCCGGCGCGGAGGCGCCGAGCGGCGGCGGCGGCGGCAGGCGCGAGTGGCTCCGCAGGCGGCTGGCCGCGCCCGCCGCGCCCGCGGCGCCGGCGCGGAGCCCCGCGCGAGGGGCCGCGGCGGCCGCGCGGCGGCGCTCGAGGCGCCGCCCGCCGGGGTCGGCAGCGACCGCGGCGCCGTGGGCGCCGCTGCAGCAGGTGCCGCGGCGAGGCGGGCGCCGCCGCAGGGCGCCGCCCTCTGCGTCGACGAGCGCGGGGGCGGCGGCGGCGGCGGCGGCGGCGGAGCGGCGGCCGTCTGCGGGCGCCAGCCGGGCGCGGCAGAGGCGGGGGGCAGCCTCGCGGCGGCGCGGGCGCTGCACGCCAGCTGGCAGCGGCACGCGGGGGCGCTGCGGGAGCAGCTCGCGGCGCTCCACGCCGAGGTGGCCGCCGCCGCCGCGGCCGCGCACGAGGGTCGCCGCGGGCAGGGCCAGTGCAGCGAGCTCTCGGAGCTGCGCTCTGAGTGCTCGCGCCTGCGCGCCGAGCGCGACCAGCTGCGCGAGGAGCTCGAGGCCCTCCGCCGCGACCACCGCGCGGCGGCCGCCAGCCATCGCCCAGCGGCGTCGGCGGCCCGGCCAGAGCCGGGCGAGAGGCCGGCGCGCGCCTCGCCTCCCGGGGCGCCCGGGGCGGGCCGCGCTGCCCCGCGGTGCGCCGCAGCGGGGCAGGGGGTCCCCAAGCCGCCGACAGGCGGTTGTCGAGGGTGCCTGCGCGAGGGTGGCTGCCGAGGATGTGTCCGCGGCCTCCGGAGGGTGTTCGCGCCTCTCGTCGGCGCCGGCGGCGGACGAGGCGTGCACCAGAGGGCCTGCGGCACGCTCTGGTTCCCTCTGAGACAGGCCTGGTCCCTCGCGTGACTTTGCTTTCACCGAGGGTGAGGATTGGTGGTGGAGGTGAATTCGAGGAGGAGGAGGAGGAGGAGGAGGAGGAGGAGGAGGAGGAGGAGGAGGAGGAGGAGGAGGAGGAGGAAAAGAGGGGCAGGAGGAGTAGGAAGAGGAGGAGGAGGAGGAGGAGGAGAAGGAGGAGGAGTTTAACAACCATGAGTAAGGACGCGACGAGATCTCTGGCACTGATCGGCACGCCCGTGAGCAGCGAGGCGCTCTCAAGCAGTGGCCAGCCCGCGTTCAACAAACCGCTCCCGTTAGGCGGGCCTGGCGCGAGGCCTGGCCGCCCCTGTCCCACTGGGCTGCTCTCTGAGCGCTGGCGCCAGCGGACCTCCCTGCCAAGGCTTAGTGCTGCTCGGCCACATCACTGCAGGGACCTGGCCCTGCCTTAAAAACCTGGTGGTCGGGGCGGTGAGGTGGGGGGGGGAAGGCGGCGGAGGGGGAGAACGGGAAACGGAAAGGGGCGACCCCAGCGGCGCCTCCGCCACTGCATTGCGTTGCCCGAGCCGCTCACGCAGATGGCGAGGCCGCGGCCCCGACCCAAGCCTCCGCCTGCCTCTGCAGGTCGGGACCCTGGAACTCCCCCGGCCCCTCGGGCGGGGCACCCGGCGTGAGAATTGGCGGGGCCCGGGACCACCCACCCCCGCAGGTCCCCTTGCCCAATGGGGCACCATGTGGCACGCACCCACGAGCCTCCCCCGGCCACGCTGCCGCGCTGTGGCTCGAGGGGGCCCGAGTGCAGAGACTGACACTGGGCGGACAAGACCCAGCCTCTGCGCGGACTGTGCCCACCACCTCCCCTCACGGGCTGGCTTTCCTCGCGGCTGGTGAGGCCGTGCCCCGAGAGCCAGCTGCACCCCCCTGGCCGCAGGCGGCCAAGATGGGCCGCCGGACACCCAGGGGCCCGACCCCGTCCTCCATGGCGCCCCGATGGACGGCTGGCATTGTTCTGTCCCGTGGTGGCCGACCCACGGGGTGACGACCGGGCGCCCGGCGGCATCAGGTGCCGGAGGAGGAGGAGGAGGAGGAGGAGGAGGAGGAGGAGGAGGAGGAGGAGGAGGAGGAGGAGGAGGGGAGGAGGAGGAGGAGCAGGAGGGAGGAGGAGGAGGAGGAGGAGGAGGAGGAGGAGGAGGAGGGGGGAGGAGAGGAGGAGGAGGAGGAGGGGAGGAGGAGGAGGAGGAGGAGGAGGAGGAGGAGGAGGAGGAGGGAGCAGGAGGAGCAGGATGAGCCGGAGGAGCAGGAGGAGGAGGAGGAGGAGGAGGAGGAGGTGCGAGAGAGCGAGCGTGCCACGGTGCAGTCGAACCTATTTCACCACACACAGAGTGAGGACTGCGAGAGGGTGGACTGAGAAGCCAACCCTCCGGCGAGAACAGCACCGCGGGGCAGTGCAGAGGGAGCCACGGCCGCGACCGACGAGGTGCCGGCCTCAGCGCTCCAGGCACGGGCGGGCGGTCAACGAGATGACGACCATGTCCGCGCCAAGTGTTATGTCGGGCGTGTCCCCCTACAGGGGGATTTTCGGCGAAAAATTAAAAATACCCCAAACATACCCCAAGAAGATCAAACAATAGTCAACATATGGTCCCAAGACTATTTCTGAACAATTTTTTTTTATCATTTTTTGGGTATTTTTCATTTTTCGCCGAAAATCCTCCTGTAGGGGGACAGGCCCGACTTAAGCCAAGTGCGACGCTCTGGTCGGAGCTGTCATCGTCGCCACGGGAAGGGGTCCTGGACGGCCGCGCGGCACGTCGGGAGCCCGTGGCAGCGGCGAGGGCAGGCACGCCATCGAGCACGCACGCAGCCGAGCCGCAGGCGGCCCCGACGGGGCCCCCCAGGAGGGCCAGGGACGGGCGGCGGGGGGCACCTGCCGAGAGACGGCGCAGGCGGGCACAGGTCGCACGCCCTTCGGGGGGTGCAAGCCCAGGGCGCCATTGCGCAGAAGACGGGCATGTGTGGCCTGGGTGCTCTTCTTCAGCGCAGCGCCGCCACGGAGCTGTTGTCATCTCTTGCAGTGCCCATCGGGCCAAAGGGGGTAAGGCGCAGAGGCTTCACAGATAACGGCACGGTCATGCCTGCCTGACAGGCACGTGTCCGAAAGCCTCAAAAACCTCTAGCCCAGTTTGCCTGCACCCGTCTTGGACCGATGACCCCCCGGGCCCGCTGGACCTGCTCGGCCCCGGGACGCTCGAAACGCAACTGCCGTTGACGCGGGCATGCTGGGAGGAGAAAAGAGTCGCCTCAGGGTGCAGCTGAAAGAATTGGTCAGCACGCCACTTCTGCGCACGTGTCGGCTGACACCGCCTGCTGGCCCCGCTGAGCAGCCCTTGAGGATCATGTCAGTGGTAGCGGAGATGTTACACGCTCGGCATCTCCACTCCAAACGCCCAGGAATAACATACAAGTCGTGATTGACGACTTGGAGAGAAATCTTACTCAGTGTCTTGTCGGCGTCCTGACCAGGGGTGGCCTCCAAGCAGGAAGCCTGGGCACAGACAATCTGGACAGCACTCGACAGAAACTTCCAGGTGCTCTTGCATTGCTTAGCGTGGTGACGCTCGGCATCGACAGCAACCTGAGCATTCTGGTGCTCCTGGGTTCCTAGCCTGGCAAAGAAGTCGGCCCAGGAACTGCCAAGGAAATGTCGAATGACGTCTGGAGGTTGGTCCTGCACATTTTCGAGCGAACGGTGAGCCTTGACCCACTCGAAGGACGGGGGCACACTGCTGGGATCGCGGGATCGAGAGATCTGGCGCCGGTGGTCAGCATGAGGGCTCTGAGCATTAGCCAGGCCTGGGTGCCACAACTTCCCCTCCTTGACAACAAGTGATCACTGTAGATCGTCCCGATCTGAGGAGCAATCTTCAAAAGCGTAAACGCCAGCATGCCTCTCGGCGCGGGCCACCAGCTGGCGCACAGGAAAGGGCCCGAGGACGTCGCCATCGAAGAACTTGTGCCCTGGGACCCCAGGTGTTCCAGAGAAACAAACCTCGCAGGTCTCAGACGCACGATGCCCAGCCATCTTCTTCCTGGCCAGGGGCCACAGCGCGGACCCTAGGAGGCATCTGGCATAGTCTCTGCGCATGGGGTCTCTGATGGCCACGGCTGCAGCGGCGAAGGGCTCGACGCCATACAACCTTCAGAACGTTTTGGTTGCCAGGGGTGCGCATCATTACGCGCGTCATGTGCCATCTCAGTATCATCTTGAGCTCGACAGGTCGGGTGGCGAGAAGGTCCACGTCGGTGCCGATATCTGCACATAGCACGCACGCAGCCTTCATACCCCAGTCGATGCGATGTAGAGACAGTGCGACAGCAGACATGGGTCCATGGCACTTGGACCAGCTCCAATCCTCCTAAAGGTTCGACGTGGTACTTATAAGTGCACGCTGTAACGCTGCCCAAAGACATAGCAGTGTCCCAGATCAAAGCTGCACATCGGCAGACCAGCCCAATGGTACTGTCAAGAATCGGGTCGTAGAACTCGTCCGTCTGAATGGCTAACCATGCCGTGACACTTGCATTCTGCCTCGCACCGACCAGCGACCCTGCAAGGCTGCGGAGCTTGGCGAGCGCGGCGGGGGCTATGCCGCTGGCACCTGCGCCGCGCGCAGCCGCTGGTAGCAGGCCTGTGCGCCAAAGAGCACGCGCCTTTCCATCTGATGCCCGTCCAAGTGCCTTCAAGCGAGACTTGTGTGCCAGTGCTGCGGCCATGCGCTTCCTGTCCTGAATTCCTACGTAGCCTGCTCTCAGCCAACTCGTGCCCAAGCTTGCGCATGTGACTGAAGACGTTGAGCTTTAGCGCCTTGGCAAGACTACAAATGCACCGTTTCGCTCGCTGCGAACTGGGAACGCAACCCGACTTGCTTACATGAGTGATAGGCCGAATAGGGTAACTTCGTTCGTGAGCCACTTGGCTGCTCGACATAAAGATGCCGCTTGATTCATATCCTCACCAACCCGCTGAAAGCTGTCGTCGTCCATGGGCGCACGGGAAATGACATCGCTGAAACGCTTCCTCACCTTTGCCGGAACGTTGAACATCAGCAGCTGGACCATCGCACCTGCGTGGCTGCAACCCGCCAAGATCCATTGGCTAGGTCGGCATGTGGCAGAGAGTGGTCCATGCGCCCCAGTCTTTCGTGGAGCTTGGTGCGTCGATAGCCGCATGCATGCCAGCCTCAAAGGAAGTTGTAGCTTTCGGGCGTGATCCAACTGAACGTGGAGCCGCATTGTTTCGAAACAGTTGTATCTATCAAGACGGGTTCGGCCAGCTTCATGCCCGCGTGATTTGACAGCCTCCGCAGTCAAATTGTGCTGGAAGGCAGCGCCTGTGGGTGTCGCTCCTGATCTGGCCTCCCAGAATGCATGTGACGGATGCTCGAATTCCCATGCCTTGGAAACGTGCCTGCGCACGATGCTCGAGATTCGGATGAGAGTGCTAAGAAGGGCGACGAATCGGTGCCCGCCGCCTGGCTTGGGCAGGCGGACCAGATCCGTGCTCAATCTGTTGTCAGGCCAACGTTACAATTCTCTGCACTTCATGAATATCTCGGCCACCGCCGCGAAACCGACATCCGAGACGCATTCGGGGGCACGCGGTTGGATGTTCGCCTGCCCGAGCCCCGTGTGCATCTTGTACGTGCGAATGGTAAGTACGTCTAACATCGCTGGCGCTGATGGCAGGTATGTGGCTCCATTCCTGCCACTCAGAAGGTCAAGGTAGCTGCTCATCGCCATGAATCGTCCAGATGTCCTTCCAAAACCCAAGACATGCGTCCGCCATCTGATGTGGCTGCGGTCGGGCGTCGGCGTGGGCAAGCACTTCTTGTGCAGCCCAGGCCTTGGAGTACCGATGGGCAAGACGCGCACCTGCTGAAAAGGCCTGCTGCGCCCATTGACTCCACCCTGCAGAACTGAAATGCGCAATGGCGGCAATGACGGCGTCAATTGTGAGCAGAAATGAGCCCGTCGTGTCGAGGAAATCGCGCGAGCAAAAGATGTTGACAATGTCTGCAATCAACCGTTGCTTGCTAGCATCAACCAAATCAAAGACCAACTTGGCCTTTGAGACTCTCGTAAATAAACCCTGCACGTCCCAGACCAGCTTCGCCAGGAGCGCGCGTTCTTTGTCAGCTTCGCCACCATGTTGGCCAAACAAACCAGCTGGCGTGGGGAATATGACGAGCTGGAACGTGAGCTTGATTTTGATTGACGCCCACCACTCTCTCGAGACAAGCGAGCATGCGCACGTGCATCGCGCGCACATGTATGAACCATCTACCAAGAACTTTGTAGGTCAGGAGCCTGCGCGGAGGAGGGGCATCAATAGCTTGTAAGGTCTTCCAGGTCCACTCAGCAAGTCCAGCGCGCCTCTAGTACAGCTTCCTGCGTGCTGGCCTAACAACGTCATGGCGATTCAAAAGCTCGCGCCCGATACCGCGTGGAGCACCATCCCAGGCAACGGCCAGCGACTCCTCGCCACAAGCATCATAGACAAGCTGCGTCACGTTGCTCCACGTGGCATATGGCAGGCGTGGAACACATCCAGGCATCGGAATAGTGTCGAGCTGCATGGACTCGACGGGCTCACGCGCCCACATAACATGGTCCCAGATGCCCATCGCTAGTTTGACAGGTATGTGGGAGCGGTCGTCACGCCGTCAATTACCTCGCAAGTTTGCGCGCATTGGGCCAGCGAGGTGGACGCACATGCATAGTCTCGAATGGTGCCTGGCTTGGTGGCTAGGCGCGTGGGTTCAGAGGCGCGGTAACATAACCCATGAACAGAGTTCATCCATCATGCGAGAAATTCAGGGTCCATGTACCAGTCGCCTGCAAGGACCTAATGACGCTGCTGGGCTTTGGGGGTGGGAACGTACCTGGCCAGGGTCTCGAGCAGCCTCGCGTTGTCTGCATGCAACTCAATCGAGTCAACCAAGTAAAGTGAGAAGGACAGGCCCTCCTCGAATGCCCCAGCTCACATCGGCGACCAGGGCCCGCCCTAATATCAATTCAGGCCGATCCATTCCAGATCCAAGCCCGACTTCAACGTGCTTGAGTACCACGATCGCCGCACCGCTGTGAATGTGCCGCCTCTGCTCGTCTCGGGTGCAGCGGCCCACACACCTTTTAACCAATGTGAGCACAGGCATGTTGCAGGTCAGGTAGCTTGTCATGTCCAGCATGCAATTCCTGTGCCAGCACATTGGCCTGACCGCAAGCTGAGTTGGCCAGGACACCCTTGAGCACGCCGTAGGACGATACGTCCATAATGATGGAGATCACGCTTGGCGCCGATTGAACTGGCATTGCGCCTGCACCCAAACAATAACCACCATAGTTCTTGGAAACATGCGCAACTGTGCCGTTACAACATGGGCCCCGCTGGCAACGGCATGCGGGCGCGCCCTCGGACTCTGGACCCGCGCGTGAGGCCAAGCAAAGAGGTCCTCACCATGATCAACACGGCCCCGCGAGGTGACCAATGTCCCACTGCTTCCAGCACAGCGACGCCTCCTCGAACGTGTGGCACTTGCCGAAGTCGTCCTCGGCAACACAAATGAATAACCAAGAATATGCGCACGCCTCAACAAAGCATGTGCCCGAGGCCAAGCAGAGAGGCCTACCACAGAATCAGCACGGCCCCGCGATGTGACCGATCTTCTGCTGCTTCCAGCACAACGTGGCCTCCCCAAACGTCTACTCTGGAGTGTAAGTGCCTGTGCGTCGGCGTTGGGCAAGCTGCTCGGCGGCGGCCGCGAAGCTCTTGGCAGCCCCCCGCGCCTGCTCGTCATCTGTGGGGGCGTCGCCGCCCGTCGCTTCCTTGGCGAAGTCACGGAGGTCGTCGAATGCCGTCCGTGTCCATAGGCTAGGCACGGCGCGCTGGTATGCTTTCTGCGGGGCGGCGTGCTGAGGCTGCTGGGTCGAAGGGGCCTGCTGGCGGCGGACTCTCAGCTTCAGCGTATGCCTTAGCGTTGTCCTCCCGCTCGCGTGTCTCGAACTCGCGCCGCGCTGAGAAGCGCGACGTGACCGAACCTGACGAGGTCTCGTCTGCCCCCGTGCACTTAAGCATTCCCCCAAGCTGCTCGATAGGCAGATCCAGGGCTGGCACCATTGCTTTGAGGGAGAAAATGCCTGGAGCTGCTGCTGCTGGTGCTTTAGCCGAAACCTGCCAGCGCTGCGTGTCCAACTCCTGAATATCTGGTGGCAGGTCTGCGAGGACCTTTTCGACCTTGTCGATACTGGTCTCGAGCTCTTCCTTCTGGGCCCAGCACTTGTCCAAGAGCTCCTGCCGATGCGCCCGCTGCTTCTCGAGCTCGTCGGTCCTGGCCGTGAAGTTGTGAAGACGGCCTGCATACGGCTTGCTGCGCACAACCTTAGCTCTGATGCCATCCCGCTCCATTTGGAGTTCCACCCGAGCTTTCACGACAGCCGGGTCCGAACAGTCACCCAACTGCTTGAGCACACCTGCGTTCTCCGTGGGCCGGGCCGGATCCTTGTCGTCGGCATCGTGCGCGGGAGCGGAGAGGGCCGTACCCGAAGAAGCCTACGACGATGTTGCACGGAGCTGCCCTCGCAGCGTAGAAATCTCGCGGTCCCTCTCACGCAGCATGCCTTTGTCGTGCTGGCTGAAGGCTTGGGCCCGCTGCTGCTTCGCCTGCTCGGCAGCTGGGGAGCGGCAGCCGGGCACTTTGAGAGGGCGGTGACCTCCGAAGCAAGTACCCTTCGCCGAGTTGCAGAGAGAGAGAGAGAGAGCATGGGAGGAGGAGGAGGAGGCGGGAGGAGGAGGAGGAGGCGGGAGGAGGAGGAGGAGGAGGAGGAGGAGGAGGACGAGGAGGAGGAGGAGGAGGAGGCGGAGGATGGAAGGAGGAGGAGGAGGAGGAGGAGGGAGGAGAGAGGAGGAGGAGGAGGAGGAGGAGGAGGAGGAGGGGAGAGGAGGAGGAGGAGGAGGAGGAGGAGGAGGAGGAGGAGGAGGAGGAGGAGGAGGAGGTGAGGTCGCCGCAGTTCCATCACTTCTCGCCCGTGCTGGGGTGCAGGCGCCAGCGGCACAGCCACGGCGTAGACCGCGCACGCGGCGCTCGGCCGCCCTGGATCCCTGCGTCGGTGCACGGGGATGTCCACTTGCCGTAGACAGCGGGACAACGGACAGCGGCCGCCAGGAGGCCAGTGCGGTAGTGACTGGTGAAGGAGGTGCAGAGCCATCTGCACAGAAATAGATGGAAGCTGGCCGCAGACCAGCGGTATCCATTTGATTCGCAGGAGAACACATGACCTTGGGCCAGACCGGCGACGGAGAGGAGGAGGAGGAGGAGGAGGTGGAGGAGGAGGAGGAGAGGCAGAGGAGGAGGAGGCGGAGGAGGAACAACATGTGGGTGAGGGAGGGGGAGGGAGGAGGAGGAGGAGGGAGGAGGAGGAGGAGGAGGAGGGGGAGTGGGGAGAGGAAGGATGAGGAAGAGAGGAGAGGGGAGGAGGAGGAGGAGGAGGAGGATCGGGAGGAGCAGGAGGAGAAGGAGGAGGAAGAGCGAGCGAGCGTGCCACTAGGAGCTTCGTCCGTTGCAGATCCCGGAGCGCATCCAGTGCATCTTTGTTAGCTTGGGGACGTGCCCTGCACTTTCAGTGTGCCAGATGGCAGGCCCCACATTGGCTGATGCTGCCAGCCCCCTTCTCCATCGGACGGTATCCGGGGGGGCTGGCGGAAAATGCGCGCGACAGCGTCTGACTAGTTTACCCCGTCATCCTCTCCTCGTCCTCCTCCTCCTCCTCCCGAATCCTCCTGCGAAGGAGACGTCGGAAGAAGAAGTCCTCCCTTCTCCTCTCCGAAGAATCCTCCTGCCGGGAGAAAAGAAGAGGCCTCTCCGCCCTCCTCCTCCTCCTCCCTACCAAGTAAGAAGAAGAATCCTCCCTCCTCCTCCTATGCGTCCTCCATTCTCTCTCCCATCCTCCCCTCATCGCCTCCTCCTCCTAAACCTCCTCTCTCTCCCATCTCCCCTCCTCTCTCCTTCATCCCCCACCAGCTCAGGCGCCCCGTCCTCCCTCTCCCTTCTCCCTCCTCCTCCTCCTCCTCCTTCCCTACCTCCTCCCCCTCCCCCCCTCCTCCCTCCTCCCTCCCTCCTCCTCCTCCCCTCCTCCTCCTCCCGAGCACCCATCATGAGGTCCAGAGGGTCCTGGGGGCTCCGAAATAGCGCGAACTGCTGGGGACACCTTAAGCCAGGACTGCTTCTAATGAGCAACGCCCAGAGGCAGCAGGGAGACCAGCACCGCGCGCAGCAGAGCCACGGCAGCCAGACGAGCAGCAACAGGGCGAGCTGCCACGAAGCGGAGCTCTCCGCGAGTCTTCCCAGACCGCGCGTCTGCAGTGCTGCCTGCGTCTCGATTGAGAAGCCCACGTCATGTCGCCGACCCGACCCCCAGACGAAGTGACGAACCCGTGGAAACTGCCAGGGCGAAGTAGGGGCTTGACCGCACAGATGTGGGTAACTTTTGTGAAGGCTCCTCGGGGCGTTTGGGAGCTTTCCAGTGTCTTCCTGGAGGTGTCTTGGGGGCGTCTTGGGGGTATGTTAGGGGCCGTCGCGCCTACCATGCGGGAGAGGGCTCCTGGAAGCCCTCCGAGTCCCCCCCTTGGATCCCTCTTGTGGCTCTGTTGGGGCCCTCTTGGGCCGTCTTAGGCGCCTGCTGGGCCGTTTTGGAATCCTTTTGGGACGCCTTTGGGCTCTCTTGCGGGCCACTTGGGCCGTCTTGGAGCGATCCTGGAGGCCTTTTGGGCCGGACGCTGTCAGTATGAAGAACGTATGTGCCACATGGATTTCGGCGATTCTTGTTTTTTGGGGGGATTCTCTCTGGGACCCTCTTGGAGCTTTCTTCGGATGTCTTGTAAGCTTCTCGGGCCGTGCTGAGGCCATCTCGGAGCGCTTCCGAGGCATCCTCGGCGCACCGGAGCCCGGCGTGAGCCAGCTTGGATGGCATCCGGGCCATCTTGGAGCGCAGATTGGGAGATTCCAGAGGTGCCGGGGGTGTGTCGGGGGTGGACAGAACCCCCAACAGTGACACGTCGATTAGTGAATTGTCCGTTTTCGGTTCTCGAGAGGGCGCCGCGGCCGGTATTTTCCAGGCTTGCGCCCGCCAGGTTTGGGCCTCAGGTCGTTTTCATTAAACCACGTTTTACTAAAGGGGGGCCTGTCCATCCTCGAGATTGGGAGATTCCAGAGGTGCCGGGGGTGTGTTGACGAGCTCGTGCCCCATCGTAATTACCCCCTCCCCCTTAAACGAGCTTTGGGACCCTGGAGGAGGGGGAAAAGGCGAGGGGGGCAGCCAAACGTCTCATACGCCTGATCGTCCTCGTCGAGCAAGGGTCGCTGGATTCGATGACGCGTACCGTTGTCCACGCGTCATCAATCGATCCGGGCTTCCGCACTTCCGAGGGCGACTCCCTCTTCCGCACGGATGGAGTCTGGTTCGATAGATCCAGCTTCAAAGCCGATTCCATGGATCAGCGATACGGGGAAGCCTGTGGACGGCCACCGGTTAGTGTCCCGCGTCTTTCTTCCCCGCATGAAGAAAAGGAGGAAAATGAGGAGGAGGAGGAGGAGGAAGAAAAAAGGAGGAGGAGGAGAATAGCATATCCGGCTGTTGTTAGTTCAGGACTGCCCTCCGTTCAGTCGAGGAGAAGGTCGAGGAGGAGGAGGGGGATGAGGCGGAGGAGGAGGAGGAGGAGGAGGAGGAGGAGGGTATGCGTCACAACTCACACCATGGCTTTGTTCCCAACCGTCCTTGGATCAGTTGGGCCCTCGTCTTGAATCAGCGGCGCCCCGCATCCTCCTCCTCCTCCTTCCCCCTCCTCCCGTCCCTGCCTCTGCCCTCCGCATGTAAAAGATTTCGGCACACCCCTCACACGTTTCGTGGCTCCATGTGGAGCTCCACCGACGGCCCCAGTGGTTGTGTTCGCATGCCGCCGCCATCCCAACTTTGGCGCACTCTCACACGTTTCGTGGCCACACAGAGAGCTACGCCTAAGGCCCCAGTGGCTGCGCTCGTATACCGCCGCCGCCCAGTTTGGCGCACCCCTCATTCGCTTGCTGGCCCCACAGGGAGCTCCGCCTGAGGCCCCGGTGGATGCGTTTGCATGCCGCCGCCACCCCGCCTTGGCGCTCTCTTCACACGCTTCGTGGCCCCTATGAGGAGCTCTGCCTAGCCTAAGGCTCCGGCAGTTGCGCCCGCATGCAGCCGCCACCCCACTTTGGCGCACCCTTCCAGCCGTTTCCTGGCTGCGTGGCTGCGTTCGCATGCCGCCGCTGCCCCACTTCGGCGCACCCCTCGCACGTTTTGTGGCCGCAGAGGGAGCTCTGCCGAATGCCCCAGTAGTTGCGCCCGCATGCAGCCGCCACCGCATTTTGGTACGCCGCTCACACGCTTCGAGGCCCCATAGGGAGCTCTGCCTAAGAGCCCCAATGGCTGCGTTCGCATACCTTTTCCAGACCATGTCTGACAGCCCTCACACGTTTCGTGGCCCCATTAGAAACTCCACCGACGGCCCCAGTGGCAGGAATCGCATGCGTGACCGCGCCCATGTCGGCGCACCCCTCACACGTGGCCCCACAGGGAACTCCGCCTAGGGCCAATTGGCAGGAAACGCATACGTGACCATGCCAATCTGGGCACAGCCCTCGTCCTTTCCGTGGCCCCATAGTGAAAAAGCTCCGCCGAAGGCCCCAGTGGCGGAGATCGCAGGGGTGACCGCGCCTAGTTCGGCACACCCCTCGCACGTTCCCTGGCCCTGTAGGAGCTCCACCAAAAGGCCCCGCCGCTTGCTGCTCTCCAGACCGTGCCTGGCTGCTCCCCAGGGCCGGGCCGACAGACGCTCAGATCCGCCGTGACGGATTGCATTCAGATGTAACCCGTTGCGGCTGACCCTTGCGACCTCATCAGCAACGCCGCTCCTGCTTTCTCACGCACGCCTCAGTCATTCTGCTGGCCCCCTCCCCTCGTTTCTACCCGTCTTGCGGCATTCGCAGCTGCGTGTGGTGGGGCCTTTCGCCAGGCTGATTGTTTTTTGGTTCAGCTGCCTCCGATTGCCATCCGTTCGTGCCAAGCGCCGCATCCCTTTCTTTTGGTCCAGAGTTGCCCCACCAATTGTCTACTGTTCGTCCAAAGATGTTGAGGATGGTGGTGGTGAGGAGGAGGAGGAGGAGGAGGAGGAGGAGGAGGAGGAAAAGGAGAAGCAGGAGGAGGAGGAGGAGAAAGACGACGACGAGGAATGGAATCTATGAGTCTGAGATCAGGAGGGGAACGTGAGGAGGAGGAGGTGGAGGAGGAGGAGGAGATAAATGAAGGGTTTGGCGAGATGGAGTGAGGGAACAAGGGAGAGAGAGGCGTTGGCTGACCTGTCCCTCGTCCTCTTCTCCACCGTCCCCCTCTCCAGCCCTCCCCCCGCATTGTCATCATCCTCCCTTCGCTCCTCCCCATTCCTCCCCCTCCCCGTCCTCCGCCTCTCCGTCCTCC